CATACTGAGAACAAATAAGGCCCTGCTAGAATACAGAGACAAAGAGCCACTTCCAAGAAAGAGGCATTATTTATCATAAATTTGTCATGAAGTGGCAAACCTCCTGAAATCTGGAGGTCTTCAGAAAACTACTGTGCCCATGCCTTTGCCAATGGCTACCATCTGTAGCTAGGGGTCTCACTGGCCAACATACTAAACTTTTAAATTCTCTTTTCTTGGAGCTATGAGGGAACCATCCTATAGTAGGATACATGCTGGATTTAGAGTCCATCTTTGTGATTATAGCCAAGTCACTTCAATTCTCTGAGTTTCAGTTTCTTCATCTGGAAGATGGGGATAACAATCCACATCCAAAGAAAGAACTATGGAAGTTGAATCGCTATCATTTTTTTTCTCTTCTGTTGAGTTTTGGTTCCTCTTTCTAATGGTTCCTCTTTATGGAAGTTGAATCGCTATCATTTTTTTTCTCTTCTGTTGAGTTTTGGTTCCTCTTTCTAATGGTTCCTCTTATTGGTTTTAATTTTTACTTACAACTTCACTAATGTGAAAATATGTTTAATAGGAATGTAAATGTATAGCCTATAAGAGATTGTGTGCCATCTTGGGGAGGAGGGTGGGGAGGAAGGGGGAGCAACATTTTAAACTCAAAAGCATATGGAAGTGATTGTTGATAAATCAAAATAAATTAATAAAATTTAAAAAAAAAGAAAATGGGGATAACAATATTTGTTGCACTAACTACCTAACACAAGGTTATTGTGAGTTTCCTATGAGGTGAGAGCTGTCAGCTATCCTAAGGATTCATTTTTTAAAAATTCAGTCTAAGAATCCCTTATATGCTCTTTTTTTATTGGTATGGGACCTGAAGGATGCTTGGGGCAGAACTGGTCTTAGGCACAGATGACTTAAGCACTGTCTATAACAACAGCCAGTACTGGCATAGCATTTTCAAGGTTACAGAAAGCTTTCCTTATACTATTCAATTTATGCCTCACACCAACCCTTGTAAAGCAGGGACTTTAGGCATTTATCCACATTTTACAGATGAGCAAGCTGAGGCTTTCAGTTAAATGGCTCATGGTCACATAGCTCTGAACCCACGTCAGCCAGACTACAGATGAGGCTCCCTGTACACTACCTCCTTGCTGTCTCTCTGTTACAAGGTGACCCAGGAGACCTGCATTCTAATCCAAACTCTACTGCTTGCTAACTAGCTGTATGCATCCCTTCTGATACTCAGATTCCTCTTCTGTAAAATGAGGGCATTTGGAGAACTAGATGGTTTCTAAGGTTTCTTCCAGCTCTAAAATGGTTTGATTTTTATAACTGGAAAACATTGCACTGCCCCCTAGTGGTCACTTTGATTCCCCCTCCCCTTTCTCTCTCTCCTTCTCCCCTCCTCCCCCATCCCCAACGTATTTAAGTCCGAGAGGACTTAATGCTAGTGAGGAAAGCCTCTATGGTGCCATGATTCAGATGGTGGAGGTGGCGTGGAAGAAGAGGGACAGGCACCTGGAGGCTTCACCTCTAAATACTGCCTCTCCACAATGAATTACCAAGTTGAATAAAGTGTATTTAATTTGGAAAGGACAAGATCCTCCATGAAAGACATGCTTTGGTGCCTCATTATAGTATGGAGGGCACCATGAATTCTCCAAGGCTATGCCCAAAGAGCTAAAGCTCTAGCAATGACTCATGAAGACTTCTGGTCCCCAACTGGCAAAATATCCTATGTTTATGGCCTGAGGCCCAGCTGAGCTAAGTGTAGAGTCAGAGTGCCCCAAACCCTAGAACACAGTCTGTGAGCATTTGGGGGCTATCTGTGTCACAGAGAAAGAAACTAAGCCAGCACAATTTTGGATCTTTGGAGCTAGAAAGCAGGATGGAAGCAGCAAACTGCACCAAAGCACTGCCACCCACCCCTCCCTCCTCCTTCGCTCCTCCCCCCATCCCAAATTACCACTTCGATCTTTTGTATTTGTATCTTGTATTTGAAGAGCTTTGGTGGTTTTTGCTGTTTTGGGTTTTGAGGTTATTAAGTTGTTTAAAGTTAAAAGGAGTTCATCTTTTTTAAATGGCAGAACAAAGAACTGTAAATAACTCAGTTCTAGTTCACCTTAGTTCAGAACTCTCTTCTACTTCTTCCCATTTCATTTTTGTCCACTGTCCCCTCAGTGATCAAATTCTTCTTATACTCCTTCCATATCAGAGGGGTGCTTGGAGATTATTACTGGCCTCTCATTGCATAGATGAGGAATAATTAGGCCCAGAGAGATTAAGTGATTTGCCCAGGGTCATGGAATAAATGGCAGAAACTTGAGTTCTCTCATTCCAAGGCCACATTGTTTCTACTGTACCAAGATCTTAGCCCTAATTGAGAGTAGGCTTACCCCTGGCACATCTCATATACCCTTTTCCAATGTTGGCTCCTCTTCTCTCACTACTTTTGTTTTTTATTTGTTTTTGTTTTTGTTTTGTGAGGCAATTGGGGTTAAGTGACTTAACCAGGGTCACACAGATAGTGTCTGGTCTGAGACCGGATTTGAACTCAGGTCCTCCTGACTCCAGGGCCGGTATTCTGTGCCTCCTAGCTGCCCCTTTTCACTACTTTTGACTCATAGAATATTATCTTTACAAATTTATCTCATTAGATCATCACAATCTGTAAAAACTCTCCCATTCAGCTAGTTGGTACAGTAGATAGAGTGATAGGCCTGGAGTCAGGAAGATTTGAGTTTAAATCTAGCCCCAGACACTTAATAGCTGTGTGGGCAAGTTAACCTCTGTCTGCCTCCATTTCCTAAACTATAAGATGGGGATAATAATATGGCACCTAACTTGTAAGGTTGTTGTGAAGATCAAACGAAATCATTTTGGTAGCTATTGGAAGATGGATTAGAGTAGGGAGAGAATTGAGACAGCCTAACCCATTAGCAGGCTATTGCACTTTTCAAGGCATAAGGTAATGAAAGCCCGAACCAGCCAGTGATAGTTAAGAAGTCTAAGGATTCAACAGAGGAGGACAGTGAAGAGTTAAGTCAACTCACCAAGGGGTCAAGCTGGGTAAGAGAGAGTAACTTGTTCAGGGGAGATGGCCTGGGAGAGAATTGAGGGGTCAAGGGATTGGAGGTCCTGGTGAGGACAAAGAGTAGGGTTTTGTAGGAGAAAGAGAGAGACAAGGAAAGCTAATAAGTTATGGCTGGATTTCTTGAACATGGAGGTGGTACTTTTAGGTTGTGACTATCTTTGTATGTGGCTAAGGTGGGGTAGAGAAGTAGCTCTTGAGAAGTGAGTAAGTTGAGGGCCTGGGTGGTTAGAGTATTTTACGGAGAGTCGATATTTATGTTAAAGTTTCCTAGTATAACAGCTGGGGAGGAGAGAAAAATTGTGAGCCACGTACAGAACTCATTGAGGAAGAAAAAAGATTTAGGATGAAGCGATGTCTACATGGAATAGGCACTCCAGACAGTACAGTGGAAGGGCTGAGAGTTTTGGGTGGGAGGGGATGGGAATAGGGAATAAGGAATAAGGTCATGGGGGAGACGAGGAATGTGTGTATGATGATCTACAGGGCTTCAGGATCACTGGTATTTGAAGGGTATGATCAGGCGTCAGACTGTTCATCATTCTCCAGGGGGTAGGGGTTGGGGGGAGGGCTGGAGATACAGGCAAGGCACCTTGGTACACGAAGATCTGGGCTTAAATCTTGCCTCGGCAGTAGCTGGGTGACGCTGGGCAAGTTCCTTTCCCACCCTGCCTGTGCCTCAGTCTCCCCGCCTGCACAGGGAGGGGGTCAGACATCCTCACCAATAATACGTGACCGTGCAGGCCCCACACACTCGCTCGGCTGGGGCTTCGCACACCTCGCACTTCAGTTTCCGCCCCTTGGGCACTGCCAGCGGGTAGATCTCGTTCATGGTTCTGGTACCACAGTACCGCCGCCGGCGCGTCCGTTGCCAGGAAACGGAGAGAGCCGTTGCCGAGAACTAAAACCCTCGGCCCGCCCCTTCTTTCCGTCACGTGACAGAAAATGACCAATCCAAGGCTGATATGAACAGGGCTTGAAGTAAGCACGCGCTCTATGCAGACACGCGCAACTGTGCGCAGGACAGCAGAGGGCGCTCTCAGGCTGCCGCTGCCTGTTCCCTCTTTGCACGTGCGCCTTGGGAAAGCGGTGGTTTCTAATTACAGCACCTGCGGTTCAGTCAGGGTCCTGCTTCTCCCTATCAGCATAATTTTGGGGGAGTCCTTTCCCCTCCCTGTACCACAATTTCATCTGTCAAATGAAGGGGTTGGCCCAGGTAATCTGCTTTCACTCCCTGGACCCTCGTTAACCAGAGAACTCCAGGAGCACCATGGTGTCCAAAAGAGTTAAGGACCTTCCTCGGGTCCTGTTGGAGGAGCTGGGGACATGTTTGGCCTGGAGAAAAGAAGACTCAACAGGGAAATCAAATATCTGAAGGGCTGTCATGTGGAAGACGGATTAGACTTGCCCTGTTTGGCCCCGAAGGCAGAAACAGGAATCGTGAATAGAAGTTGCAAAGACACTGATTTAGCCTTGAGGTCAGGATTGATTTCCAAACATTTAGAGCAATTGGGCTAGGGCTGCCTGGAGAAGTAGTGAGCTTCCCCCTAACCCAGAAGCTGGGCAACTTCCTGTCAGGTTTATTATGTAGGGAGGATTCTTTTCCAGTTCCCTTCCGTCCTGGCAGAAATATAGCAAGGAAATGAGAGATCAGCACGGAGCTTGGGCACCGGCATAGCCTACCTAAGCTCTTTATAACACTTGATGAAGTGTGTGTGGGGGGGTGTGCTTCTCTAGGCTGAAAGAAAAGGACCCTGGCTCCCGCGGCCGCCACTGACTCTCTGGCTAGAGTTGCGGAGGAGGCTCCCGCCCGCCGCTCCTTTCTGGGCTCTGGTCGCCCAGCCGCGCCGCCGTTGCTAAGGCGACGCAGGCGGCTCCGGCGTCCCCCCACCCCAGGCGGCTGCGCAGTAGACTGGACTCAGGCTGATTGGCAGCGGCGGCGCAGGTCAGGTGCTAGTATCCAGACCGATGGCGGAAACGATTCTGAACTCCGAGTTCCCGGAGCCTCCCGGCGTGGCGCGGAGCGCCGCGCTCATGCAGAGCTTCGCCGCGCGGATGGGCCGCGCAGGGCCGGCGGGTGGTGCTCATCACGTCGGGCGGCACCAAGGTGCCTCTGGAGGCGCGCCCCGTGCGCTTCCTGGACAACTTCAGCAGCGGGCGGCGTGGCGCGGTCTCGGCCGAGTGCTTCCTGCGCACCGGCTACGGGGTGCTGTTCCTGCACCGCGCGCGCTCCTCCTTCCCCTTCGCACACCACTTCCCGCCGCAGACCTGGCTCGCGGCTCTGCGGCCCACCCGGAGGGAGGCCGAGGCACCCGGAGGCCGCCTGCTCTTAGAGGCCGAGGCCTCTGCACTGCCGGGCTTTGCCGACGCCCTGCTCACCTACCAGGAGGCCGCCGAAGCCGGCACCTTCCTGGCCGTGGAATTCACCACCCTGAACGACTACCTGCACCTGCTTCAGGCCGCGGCCCAGGCGCTCAACCCCGCTTGGTGCGTGGGCAAGATCCAGACCCAGCCCTGTATCGCCTCCGCCCGGTGACCTTGACTGCCCGCCGCCGGCTCCTTTCCTATCCTCTGCGCTCTCCCCGCCCCTTCCATAGCAGCGTAACTGTACAGCTGGAAGGGACCTTGAAGGCCCTCCGGCCCACTTAGTAACAGCTGGCATTTACGTAGCACTTACTATGTATGTGTTGGGCACTGTGCTAAGCTCTTCTCCATTACGATGTCACTGGATCCTCACAGCAGCCCTGGGAAGTAGGCACTGCTATCGTAATCGCCCTGCTCAGGGTCATATAGCTAATATGTATCCGAAGCAGGATCAGAACTCACACCTTGACACCGTTCCTCTCCCCGAGTCAGGCATTCTATCCACTGTGCTTTGTCACTGTTTTTCTTTGCAGGCTCCTCTGCAATGTTTTACCTTGCTGCGGCTGTGTCGGATTTCTATGTGCCTGCCTCTGAAATGCCTGAGCATAAGATCCAGTCCTCTGGAGGCCCTTTGCAGGTGTGTAAGACTTATTTTTCCCATCGAGACTTATGTGTCTGAGCATGGACCAGCTTGCTCGTTGTTTGAATTAGGCTTTTCTATAGTCAGGCTGATACATAGGCCAAAGCATTGTGGTCCAGGATTCTCATAAATCTAGAGACTGTTAGGTTAGAACTAGGTTTAGAATTACCTAAATATAATCTATAAATTTAAAAGCCTATTGATAAGATGTGTAATAACCTTTGCCAGTGGTTCTGCAGAAATTGTGTGTGTTTAAAGAGGATAGCTTAGGTATATAATCATAGTGTTGGAGCTGTGGGGCGCAGTGGAGTTTATCTAATCCAAGCCCTTTCTGCAGTCTTTCCCCCTTTCCTTAAAGATACCCTTTATGTCTTTAGTGAACCTTGGCCTCCACCTCTTTCCTTTCTTATCAGATCGAATACTTCCTTCTCCAACCCTAACACCAAAACACCTTTTTGAAATACTTCTAGGATGCAGTGTCATCCTTGTGAGTATCTCTTCTTTATACATAGATGACAACCGCTTCAAGTCCCATCCACAGAGTTACTGTGACTGAAAAAATGAATCACTGTTTTGTCAACCTAGTGATAAGCCTGGCGGAATTTAGCTAGATTGGTTCTTGGATGACAGATAGATGGTTCATTATAATGAGAATCCTTTTCAGCTTGATGGGACCTGCCAGAGCTTGTATTCCATTAACATAGCCTTTCAGAACTCAAGTTTACCTTTATGCTGTGCAGAAGTCGTTTATAAAACTAAGGGGCTTAACCAGTTTTTAGAAGTTCAGGTGTTTAACTCAATTTTGTCTTAGCACTGATGTCCAGTGGTAAGAGCAGCAGTGTTCTAGATATCTTTATTAGAGATCTAGAGCACCCACATCAATCCTATGGGCTTTCCAGAAATCTTTTGTTAATTCTGATGGGATTCCATGGGAACAGGACTAAAGGGACCACGTTAAGTAGTGGAACCCTGATTTATTTACTTACTCCTTATCTCCTCTGTAGCTCCTTCTCAAATTTTCCCTTAACTTCAAAATAAACTGTTTATCTATTTTTTTTTTGTTTTGCCTAGGCAGTGGGGTTAAGTGACTTGCCCAGAGTCACACAGCTAGTAAACACTATGTGTCTGAGGCCTGAATTGAACTCAGGTCCTCCTGAATCCAGGGCCGGTGCCCTATCCACTTCATCACCTAGCTGCCTCCTAAACTCTTTATCTAAATCAAGACTATACACTATATTGGTCCATATTAAGCATATATTTCCTTCAAATCTGACTTACATAAAATCCAAGTACCATTTATAATTAGTGGTATTTGTAATAATATGACTGTCTCTTTTTGACAGCCCATTTTAGGTGTGGTCTGTGTTCAGATTAGTGTATTATCTTTTATAAAAATATACTAAGAAAATTTTATCTATTCTTTTTTCATAGACATAATCTTCCCAAGCTTTAAATAAATTTACGTATTAGACTGCTTCATGAATTAGAGAAGCATATTCAGTCAAATGACATTTATTAAGCACCTACTATGTGCCAGGCATTAAAACTGACCTTTCTATCATATCAAAGTAATTTTTGCATATTACTTTCTGGGTATCAGTTTCTTCAATTGTAGAATAAAAGGACCGGGAGGGAAAAGGAATAAGCATTTATATAACACCTGCTCTGTGCCAGGTGCTGTGCTCAGCACTTTTCCACTTCCACAGCTGTCATCTGTAAGACTTCTAAAGGACCCTGGCTTTATTTTATCTGCCTGCCAAATCTCACTTTTAATAACTGTTGAAAATGTTGTGTGGCTGTTGACAATATTTTAAAACCCATTCTGCCTCTTTTTCTCTTTTCCTGCCTACATGCCCTTCAAGCAATGTGCCAACTATTGTGCTAGGTATTAAGGTTATAGAGGCAAAAATAAAACATCCTAGCCCTCAAGAAACTTTCTTTCTTTTGGGGGAAGACAACATGTATGATATACGTACATAATACATATATATGTACAGACAAGGTAACTTTGGCACTAGCAGCAAGGGGGATCTGGGAAGGCCTCATGTAACAAATGGCATTTAAGCAGATATTTGAAGGAAATTTGGGATCCCGAGAAACAAGTGAGTTGATAGTGCCTTCCCTGCTTGGGGGGACAGACAGCCAAATTAGCTGGAGCAAGACTACATGGAGGGGAGGAATTATAATAAGGAAGGAAAGAAAGTTTGAAGTCAGGTTGTGAAAGGCTTTAAAAATTACCAAATGAATGTATTTGATTCTAGAGAGCTGTTGGAGTTCATTGAGCAGGAGAGTAACATGTTGAGACCCGTGATTAAGAAATATTTTGGCAGCTGTGTGGAGGATGAATTGGAAAAGAAAGAGACTTGGAACAGGGAATCCAATTAAGAGGTTATTGTAACAACCTGGGTGGGAAGGTTAAGGACCTAAACTAGAATGATGGCTGTGTGAGTGGTCAAGAAGGGGTAGGAGTGAGGAGGAGCAGGGCTTTATGGATGATTCTCAGGTTGTGAACCTGGGTGACAGTGTTGAGATGTTGAGTTCAGGATACCTGTTTTTGTTCAGCTGTTTCCAACTCTTCATGACCCCATTTAGCGTTTTCTTGGCCAGGATACTGGAGTGGTTTGCTGTTTCCTTCTCCAGCTCATTTTGCAAACAAGGTTAAGTGACTTGGCCAGGGTCACACACTAGTGAGTGACTGAGGCTGGATTTGAACTCATGAACATGTCTTCCTGACCCCAGGCCTGGTGCTCTGTGCATGGTGGCACCACCTAGCTCCCTACGATATACATTTCAAAATGATGAAACATCAAGTGATGCAGGATTGGAAACTTGGTAGAAGGACTACTGCTAGACCTGTGGGTTATCTGGGAGTCATCTACATATAAGTGATGATTGTACCCATGGGATCTGCTGGTTTTTTTGGTAGTGCTGAGTAGGAGATGAGCACTTAGTGAGAAATAGAATAAATACCTTAGTTACTGAAAAGATGATTGTTTATAGAGGGAAACATGAGCTAAATTTGAATGCTAGCATGAAGTCTCCCATGATCTCTGTATTTATCCTTAAGATCTTGATATCTGGCAGATCCTACCTGGAAAAGCTCTTGGTAATTTAGGCCAGTCCACAAATATTTGAAAGCATCTCCTGTTCAAGTCACAATGTTCAGCATTAGGGATACAAAGATAAAATGGAAACCTGTTCCTGCCCTGGAGATTGGGGTGTATACCACATGCCAGCATAAACTTATACATACCAACTGGAGAGTGAGGGTAAGTGCATTCACAACCAAGGGGATTAGGAAAGCCTTCCTGGAGAAGACAACACACTGTGGGAATCTTGAACCGTTTCTTCAAAGGTTTGGGGGTAGGAAATGATACTGAACTCAAGGAACTGCTGTTGGGCCAATTTAGATAAAGCTTTGCTTCCCAAACCTTAACGTACTTTTAGCAAACTTAAAGGGGACCGTGGAATTATAGAGCATGTGTTACTGTTTCATGTAGATGTTGGTAAAGAAAAAAGATTCTCTGTTAAAAATAAAAATTTAATGCACTTTAAATTCCTCAGAAAAAGTTTAATTTTGGTCAGTTGGTCATAAAAGTTGGTCAGTAATGTCCATCTTGAAGGTTGCTACAAGTGGAAATTTTGAGTTACCTTGGACAGTAGCCACTCTTTTAATTGAAGAAATCAAGGAGTGATTGTACTAGAAGAGAGGATTAAACATTTTTGATATTCAGTTCATTGCCTGCCCACATACTCTTAGAAAGACCTGCCAGAAACTTTGGTGTATTGATCAGTCTTCTGCAGTTAATTGTAAAGCTAGATTAGAATACAAGGGTGAAAGTCTGGATAAATATAATAATGGAACCTTTCTAATGGACTGGTGCTAGGGGAACTGTACTAAGACCTATTAAATTTGTAACCTGACCTTGTATCAGGTTCATACAGACGTAGGCTTCAAGGGACATGATTGGGCCCACAGACCATCAGCATCCTCACAATATACAACCTCTTAAGAGTTCTACTGTACTTAGGTTTTTCAACTAGACATCCAGACAGCTGCATGTTGAAAGAGTGCTATTGTTCTGATTTCCATCTGATGGGGAGATGTTCGGCAAACCTGGGTGTTTAGGTGCAAATTAGCCAGTTAAGCTGACAAAAACACGGACCTTATTTCTGCCAGCTCTTAAGATTATTTCCATTTCTCTTCACATCTTATTGTAATGCTGGGGGTACTCATCAGAAAACCATTTTCTCCCCTAGAAATACACAGATGAGATTGATGAGCTACCTCATTTAAATGATTGTATTCTAGAAGGGATTCACACACTGGGTAAGGGTGAAGCTGGATGCCCTTGAAAGTCCTATCCAGTTCTATGGATCTCTGAAATTGGTAGTGCCTTTATGAGCAGGAACTTAGTTGGAAACCCCATTCCAGGTTCCCTTGATTACCGTTGACAGGGACCTCTTATATGAACTTTTTTTTTTCCTGGTGTTAAACCTTTCTTTTCCATTGCAGATAACGATGAAGATGGTGCCAAAAATGCTTTCTCCTCTTGTTAAAGATTGGGCTCCTAAGGCATTTGTAATTTCCTTTAAGTTGGAGACAGACCCCTCCCTTGTAATTGATCATGCCCGGAGAGCTCTGAAGACTTATTGTCATCAGGTGGTGGTGGCCAATATCCTTGAATCTCACAGGTCCTATGTGATTATTGTAACCAAAGACTCAGAAACACAGTTGTCTCTTTCTGACGAAGAAGTGGGAAAAGGTATGGAAATAGAAGGAAAGATTGTGAGTAACCTACAGTCTCGACACATGGCTTTTATAGATGAGAAAAACTGAGGCAGAGTTTGTCTTACCAAATCCGAAGCTTGAATGAGAGGGTGGTACAGAGAAATGGAAATCATCTTTTGCCTTCCCTAAAGAAAAGGAAAATCTGTAGGAAGGTGAAAAGAGTATTGGAATAGAAAGGGAATATTTAATTTCAAAACAATTTGTTTTTTGTCTTTTAATGGTATTTGATGCTCATTAAAAACGAAAATGAAGGGAGACCAGTTTTGGTTTTATATAGCTAAACTTACCACTTCAAGTGGAAGAAAGAATAAAGGGGATGTAGTTCTCATTTTCTATATAAAATAATTTACCGCAGGCTAAATAATAATCTCAGCAAAATTCAAAGGATAGAAGGAATAAAAGCCCAAATAAAACCATAAACTCCAAACTTTTTTATATTTTGATTAAAACATGTCTATGTACATAAACTTTAACAAAGTAAATTTTTTTGTTTTGTGTTCTCTTTTAGTGTCTTCCATCTCTGTATTTAAAAGTTTTGTTGCTTTTTAAATATAATCATAATAGCAATTGATATTTATTATATTAAAGTGAGATGAAATACCACCTTATACCCATCAAAAATTGACAAAAAATGGTTTAAAATTGTAAAACTATTGGCACAACTGGGAAAACAAGCGTGGCATTAAATTGTTGATAGAGCTGTTTGCTCTTTCCATAATTTTTTGTATTCTCTATTTGACACTCTCTCTGGGAAAACAATAATCTCTTAACCATGATTATTCTACCATTTTCCATTTGGATAAAGAGGAGATTTTCAGTTAAAGTACAGTTATCCCTTCCACATCGAGATTTTCCCCATTGAGGTTTTGATATATTGGGGATTGGCATAAGAAATTAAATGGGGAATTTGGGGGGAGTTTTGCGGAAGCCAACAGATGACACAGAGCCTGTGATCAAATATTTAACCCAAATTTTACAATAAGGTATTGTAAACACCTCATAAAAGAAAAAGAATACATTCAGACTACTTCTCTGCTATGAAGGGAGGGCCAAAAAATTTTACATGGATTTTCCAGATCATGGAAGTGCCGTGCCCTAATTTCCCTTCCCCTCCCCCCATGTGGAAGGGATAGCTATTGTTATGAATAATTTAAACACAACCATAATTTTTTTTCCCTCTTAACAATGTCCTTAGAATATAGTTCTTGAGATGAAATCACTTGATCAAGGGGTGTGATCCCTTTCGTGAGTCACATTGTATATATTTTTAAAATAGCATTTTATTTTTTCCAGTTACACATAAAGCCAGTTTTTAATACTCAGTTTTCCAAAACTTTGAGTTCCAAATTTTCTCCCTCCTTCTGTCACCTCCTCTTTCCCTACAATGTTAAGTAATTTGATAGAGGTTATATGTGGAGTCACATTGCATATTGTTCTTGCAATATTAAAACGAGAGTGTACCAGTTCACCCCTCTGCCAACATTATCAGTGTATCTTTCTCAGTAGCCCTACAAACATTGAATCTGATAATTTTTAATGATCTTTGCTAATGTGATGGGTATATAGTGGTATCCCTTCACACCTCTCTTTTCAAAAAGGTTTAACTGGGAATTGGACCCTCTAAAAACACACTTTAGTGTATCCAGCTTACAAACAAGGAAGCATTTGATTCATCAGTGGTCACAGTTTCGTCAGTGTGTGCACAGAAAACAACCCAGTTGTAAGTGTGGCATTTGGCAAAGCTTGTTTAGTAGAGCTATGATGTGAGAATTCCCCAATTACTAGACTCTTCTATTATTTATTTATTTATTTATTTTAAGGCAATTGGGGTTAAGTGTGGACCTTTTTATTTTGAAAGTAGCCTTTTCCCTGCCTGAATCCGTTAATGAGCCCAAGTCTCAAACACTGTTGATGCTTTGTGTTCAATGTGTCTTGTGCCTCTGGGCTGTCTTGCACAGAAACCATTAGCCAGCCAGGTAGGTAAAGGTCATCTGCCTTGTTCTTCTCATCAGGCAGCTGTGACATCAGTGCCCTTGGTGGAATTATACTTTAAGGATCCTTTAGCTTCAGCCACCACATGCTGGAGTGGCCAGGGACGAGGGGAGGCCCTGTTAAAATCATGAGACTTTGGCCTGGGCCCTAACTGGGCTTGGGGTTTAGGGTCATCGGACTTCAGAGTTAAAGCGTTTGTTATGTAATCTAGCTGACAGTAGTAGTCCAAAGTGCAAGGCTCCCAGAAACCTGAAGGGGTTGAGGAAACCTGAAGCAATTGCCTTGGTTTATAAATTAAGGAAACGAGGCTTCCATGAGAGAGTTATTATAAATATTTTTTTCTATTCCTTAATTAAATTATAATTGCAAAGCAAGACGATTAATTCTTAACAGTGGTTATACATTTAGCCAATGACTTCAAAAGAAAGTAGTGTTCACGGATTCTGATAATCTCTCCATTCCTTCCCACCTTACCCTCCATTAAAAAGTTGGGAATGACTGAGGACCTGGAGTTGTGGTTGCATCTGTGCCCCACCAAAACTGCAACACGGGCAAGACGCAGGAAAGGATAGTTAATTCATTCAGCAGGTATTCATTGGAGCTGAGAGGCATCATGTGATGGCTGGAGAGCTGGGTTCTCGTCTTGCCTCTGACACACAAGCTTTGTGGTTTGGGGCAAGTTATTTCATCTCTCAATGCCCTGGGCAAGACTATTTGCAGAGAAGGTAGAGGTGCTCCTTCTGCCAGTGAAATCACAGATACAGTTGGTTTTTTTAAATTGAGCACCTACTATGTGCAAGGCTCTGTACTGGGTACCGTGTATAATACAGGGTGGTGGGAGCCTAAAGCCTAGTATAAAAGAGAAGCTGTGATGTCTGAGTGCATTGAGACACAAAATGGGGTAGTGTTAGGAGAGAGACTAATGGCTAACTGGGGACTTCATAACAAATTGACAAGTTAGTTACAGGTTGCTAGGCTGCTGTTATTGGAGAGAAGAACAACCCGTTTCAGACCAGCATCCTTTTCTCCCTAGACCACCTTGGGTGGCTAGTGAATGCTCCTGCTCCAACCACAGACCTAGTTTAAGTCTCAGTTTGCCTGTGTTGCCCACTTGGCACAAGAATTAGAGGACCATTTCCTGTTACTGCTCTTCCAAAGTAGAATTTTAACCTAGATTCTTAAAAAAGTGAAGGCAGACTCAAGTTATTTTTTACATTTCAAGTTTGCTTGAGGTTGCAAAAACTTTTGCATAATTAAACCATGATTGCTTGGAACCTTGGAAAGGACCTTAAAGATGATCTACTTACTAACTCTGTGACCCTGGGCAAGTCACTTAACCCCAATTGCCTCACCAAAAAGCAAAACTCCACTGCCCAAAAAAAGAAAGATGATCTAGCCTAAACCCCTCATTTTACAAATTAGGAAACTGAGGCTTAGAAAGGGGAAGAAACTCAGCACAGTGTTCAGTGTCAGATCTCCTAATTCCCACTTCACTGCATGGTCTCTGCTGGCTGCCTCCCCTAAGCTTTTATTGAACTCTCTGAGGCGATGAATTCTGAGACTCTTAAGACCTGCAGGTGTAAAACCCTCTCCCAGGAATGTAGGCCTGCACTTTCTTTGCCTTTGTTCTGATTCAGTCCAGCTTGTGGATGCCTTTACCTGCAGGAAGCCTTCCTGAACCCTCTCCTGTTATAACAAGACTTCCCTCTTGAACTTTGCATAGCACTTTGCACCTCTATTATGCACTTTTCGTGTAATGTGTGTTGTAATTAATTACCTGTGTCATCTACCTGCTAGACTCTGGTCACAGAATCTGAGTGTGAGTCTTGGCTCTGACACTTTCATTTTGTGACCCTGGGCGACTACTCAACCCCTGTGTGCCTGAGTTTCCTCTTTTTTTTAAATGGGGATAATATTTGTATTACCTACCTCACAGGGTTGTTGTGAGGAAAAGCCCTTTGTAAATCTTAAAGCATTATGTAAATTATTATTCTAATTATGCACAGCACTATATTCTCTGTGGGGCCAGCAAAGAGCCCCTTGGTGGATCCCCTGAGCACATGCGTAGATTTTCTTCCCCTGTTGGGGACTTGGCCCACTTGCAGGTATTTATTAAGCAACTACTCTGTGCCAGGCACTACTCCAGGTCTTGGGGATACCGATATTAAAATGAAAGGCTCCCTTTCATTTTACAGGGGAAACAACATATATACATGTAAGAAAATGTAAGCGATAAACAGTGGGTGGATGGTACACCAGCTGCTGTTGCAGATCAGGGAGAATTTTGAAGGGAGCTGGAGATTTTAAGTGGGAGATGAGAGGGGACTGCGTTCCAGGTAAGAACCTTTGCAAAGGCCAGGTCCAGACCTCACGAAGCCAATGACCCTCACTTGGGGTTTCCATAACCAAGGAGCCTTTGGTCCCTCCCACTGCATGCTATCCCACCCCTTTTCCACCCACTCTACTAGAACCATCCCATATCAACTCCTCCAATTGACCCTCAATCACATGTCTTTTTACAGGCTAACATTCTTCCCATGAGGCTGTTGGCTGGTCACAGTTCTGTCTATGAAACCAGCTCCTGAGCATCTCTATTCTCCTCTCTTCCCTGCCTAGTAATTACTATATACTCCCCACCAACTCTGACCCAACCATCTCTTGGTGATCTCCTGCCTATTTACCAAAGGAGCAAGCAAGGCCAGAAATAGAATTGGAAAGAGGCCCAGAGTTACTACCCCAACTTGATCCAGAGGGATTACAATGCCATCCCTCTCTGCCTTCTTGCCCTATGCAATTTCTTCCCGTGACCTTCTATAAATCCAGTGTGCACCCAGAGCACCGGAGGCCTTCCTCAGTTAGCTTATTCCTCCTGTAGTACATCTGCTTATTGGACAAGGATATCACTCGTATACAGAACCATACGGTGTCATAGTTGGAAGGGACCCTGATGACTCATACTTGAACCTGCCCCTCTAGTGGCCAGCCGGCCTTTCTTGGAGACCTCCAATGAGAGGGAACTTGCTGCCACTGTCTGAAATAGCCCATTCCACTTGGGGATAGCTCTGTTAAGGAAACATTTTCTGTTGTGATGCCTAAATTTGCCTTTCAGTGTCCATTTGCTGCTTCTAGTTCTGACCTCTGGAACAAGTCAAATCCCTCTTGTAGGTAACAGTGCTTAAAATACTTCAAAACAGCCATTATGACCCCAAAGCCTTCTCTTCAAGATAACCAGTTCCATATTAAGTGCCTACTGTGTGCAGCTCACCTTTATAATTCTTTACATCCCTTGCTGTAGAAACAAATTTCTTGATCATGGTCCCCACACTCAAAACTTTCCTATCCATTTAGCCCAAGATCATTCCTGTCCTGCCTTGTGTAACTCTTTTTCTACTATTTTTCCGTTCTGTAGCTAGGTCCATATCCAGCACTCCCAAGGTAACAAGAACAAGAAGGTAGAATATCAGTAGTTTAATTTGTTTTTAAGATAGTTGAAAAAACTAGGCCTTATCACTATCAAATAGATAATTGGTTTATAATAATGCTTATCTCGTGCTGCTGCTGCATTTATAACATGCTAAATGTACAGCATGAACTGTGGAGAAACGGATAAAACATGTTTGAAAGGACCAATTGGATGTTGGTTTCTAGGAAGACTTGAAGAACTTAGTAAACATTTGTTGAATGAATGCATGTATTAACTCCATAATGGCCCAGAAAAGTCAAATCAGGCTGAGGTGGCAGCTGGTCTGGAAAAAGTCATTAAGTCTAAAGCAGATTGTTCCTTTAGAGACAAGCTGATTGGTGTCTGTCTCTAGATGGCTTTGTAGGAATCCTACCTGATGAACAGCAATGGACCATTAGTCCAAATGTGAGTGCACCCACCTTTAAAATGCCACATAAACAATATCCTTTCAATGCCACAAGAGCTTTGCAATGCTGATGTGATAGAGCTATCTATATCTATAGCTTTCCAGTGAAATGGCAGATTTCTTGTTATATTACCATAACCCATACTTATATCAAAGCTTTCCAATGTCATGTGGTTAATACATATATGCCTTATCTGAGTATCTAATAAATGCCTTTGAATTTGAAAGTGTTTGCATTTTTATTTTCCATATCAGAAACCTCGGTAAGAAATAACTACCCAAGACAATCACAATTTTTGCTATTACTGCAAATGAAAGGGGGTGGGGGTTGGGTTCCCCAGTGGGTCACTCTAGGCAGTTTTGTACTTTTCTCCATTTCATTGGTCACCATGGCCAGTTCATCCACTGGGGGCCAGCCTTCCCCTGGTATGTCCAGTTGGTCAGCTCAACACTGGCAGGGCCTTCTTCTCCACCCGACATGAACTAAACTTGAGGTCACTTTTGTGCCAGGAGGCCATGTGAAGGGGTCAGCAGTGACCCCTTCAGCACTCGAATCACTCCAGCCTGATTCTGTCATCCAGTATGCTAGCCAACCTTCCCATCTTGTCACCACAGACTTGAAAATCATGCCATCTGGGCTCTGCCCCAAGTTTTTAAAAACCTGTACAGGACAAGGCCAAAGACCCCTTAAGGCGTTTCTTGGTGACGTGAAGAGAATTGGAGTCAGAAGACTTGGGTTCCAATCCCGTCTCTGCCACTTACTACCTTGGGCAGGTCACAACCAGGGCATCTGTCAAAATGAGGAGTTGGATTAGAAACGGGGATTTGAACGTTCATCCCTAAATCCTATAACCTAAAACCCTTCCAAAATCTCCAGATGTCCGTGAGCCCTGACGATGTCCCTCTTCCCCAGGAACCTTCGTGAGCTCCACCCACGCAGGAACAAAGACCGAGGCCCTTGGACCAAAAGTCTCTCATCCTCCACCTGCTTTCTTTGCCTCCCCTCCCCGTGGCAGTGGTCTGTGCCTTCACCTCCCCTCCACAGGAAGACCTCTCCCTCTAAGGCCAATGGTATGCTCCGTAACCATGGTAACCGCCAGACGAACCCCGGACAGGAGCGGTTGCCATGACTCCCGCAGAGCCAGTCGGCCGCTGCAGTTTGGAGTCGCCGACCGACCTCCTGGGAGTCTCTGCCGCATTTCGGCGACGGGGGCATTTTTCAGCCTTTCCGCAGAACCAGGCCCGCTCGCAGCCTCGACAGCCGGGAGAGACAGCCGCCTTTTCTTATTTCTTTCCCTTTCTTTCCCTCCCTTCCGCGCCCTTTCTCCGGCTCCTGCCCCCAGCACCCCCCCTACACCTGGTGGAGTGAATGAGTGCGTGAGGAGAGGCCTTCTGGGCTGCAGGGGTGTGCGCGCGTGCGTGCCCCCGAACTGTGCGTGCGCGTGTCCCGAGCTGTGTGTGCGCGCCGAGCCCGCACTTGCCCTGAACTGTCTGTGCTCGCGCGCCCCAATCCCGCGCGTGCCCCCAGCGGGGGCGCGCGCCCAACCCCACTCAGGACTGGGGTTTTACCAAGGCCTGGGCGTGCTGGGAGGACTGGGGCCGCCCTTAGCAACTCTCCGCGGAGATGGGCAGCCGAAGCCGAGGAGGGGGAGGCCCTGTGGGGTCCTAGGTTCACCGGCCACTGCTGTACAGACGAGCTTTTAATACTCCACTCCCTTGTCTAGCAAGCAAGGGACCCGTGGCCTCTTTGTCCCCCTCTTGGCCCCAGAAGGCGTCCAGCCTTCTGCATTTTTCCAGGCCACGACTTTGTCCCTACAAAATTGTTTAATTGACACCTTTTGTTTTCAGTCATTTCCTGAATCCCCCCTTCTCCCTCCCCCGCCCCCCATCTTGTCTTCTCCCTGTTCAATTCTGCTGGATCAGTTTCCTCATCTGTAAAATGAAGGGGTTGGACGAGCTGCTTCTGAGGTCCCTTCAAGCACTAGATCTGTGATCCTGTGATCCTGTGACTTCTTTTCTGGCCTTATTATCCGTCTTATTGAATTTTTTTTTCTTCACCTCTCCTGGGCCATAGTGCACTTTCAGTGTTCATTCATAGAGCCCCAACCCCTAAAACTCATAGACTGTCTCACTCTGCTTTCCTACTGTGATGCTGTGGGTAGGGGCTTGTTTCCCATTTGGTATCCCCAGGATTATTTGGAACAGTCTATCTATTACTCTGCACTATCACGGTGATGCTGTGTTGGGTAAACTAGAAACTAAAATGGAGAAGTCCTCTCTGGTAAATACAAACATTAAATTACATCAAGTCAAATGTATTAGAAAAATACAGAAAAATAACTGCATTTTCCTATTATTTTAGAACTTGTATCAAGATTTAAGTTTATTCCTTTATGAATTACTTATGCAAAATATTTTATTGGGGTATTTTCTTAATTGTGAATGCTATTTTCATCATCTAACACATTCAGGCTTTAAAGGGGACGTAGAATTGTCTGAATGAGAATTGAAGCTAGGGTATAATGCCTATGTTTAGTAATAATTAAATTTTATGATTACTTTTAGAGACTAACACTACTTTCAGTGAACCAAGAGAGAAACTAGTAAGAAGAATTTCAGAAAATGTATTCTCCTGGGCAGGATAACTGCTTAATATAGGCTGGTCTGTTTAATAAAGGTTGGTCTTCTTGGTAGGGTTGGTAAGTAGGATTCAGTGGATTGGATTAGTTAGGAAAGCTTTAATTTTTTTTTTCTACAAAAAGTGCTTTCCTGAAGTTTGTTAGAACCTTCGTGTGTAATCTTCACAGAGCAGGGACTTACTGTTTTTTGGAAGTACATTTAAAATCAATTGTTCTAGTTTATTTAGTTTTCAGAAAATTGACAACTTGGTTGTTTTGGTTTTCAGAGTCAATTGTAATAGATACCTATGAAGTCATGCCAAGTTGACATGAAAAAATTAAAATGTTGGCTTTACAGCTTCCTCTTCTTAATCTTAGATTAGAGAAGGAAACTTTCCTGCTTTTTCAGTTTCCAAATAAAATTCTAATGATTTATAAGTTGGAGATGCTAGAATGTGTAAGAGTATTTGAAATAAATTTCAATTGAAATAAATTGAAATGAATGCTTTCTAAAGCTAAATGCTTCCTGTATGCCAGGAAGCATGCTAAGGACTAAAGATACAAATAGAAAATTCAGACAGTCCTTGCTCTCAACAAGCTCATGTTCTAATAGAATTTTAATGTTTGTGAAAGTTTTAAATTATATATTTGTGTCAGTGTCTGCCTCAGGGAGGCAGGATGGTGGCGTGGGAAGAAAACTGAATTAGTTAGAAGACCAAGGTCAAATCCCACTTCTACCACTTTCAGTTTGGCCTTGAGAAAAGTCATTTAACCTATTTGGTCCTTAATTTTCTCATCTGTAAAGTGGGGAGAGGTGGACAAGAGAACTGTTGACTACCCTCAGTAAATTTATGATCCCAGGAAATGTCATAATTCATGCCTCTTTGACCCTTGGTTTAGTCCTCAAGAACATGCTATTGCAGTTATTTGTTCCCTCTTTGACCACAGTATGTAGTGCTGGGCAGCACACTCTCCTCTAGGACTTTAGTTTTCACAAGAGAAATTGTGTCTAAATGAGGTCTAACTTTGCCTACCTGGTTGCAGTTTAAAGTACAGTTGGGCTTTTGTTAACCTTCATTTACCCCTTTGCTTCCAGCCAGCTTTAGTTGTTTCTGTCACTTCCTTCCTTGCACCTCAGGAGCCCTATACATACAAAAAACTAGCTGTCTGATTTGTAATTATTTTAGGGTCTTTATTTTCAGGAGAGGTTAGTTACTTTAAAAGCATTCATTTAGTGTCTGCCATATATAGAGCATGTACAAATGTACTTTGCTATGTAGAAACTACATATGGAGAATTTCACCATTAGAAAATTTGTCTCAGGAAATTGATTTTATTATATATTACTTGAAGATTCCTATTTCTGATTCCTTCAATCTTACGTTAGTTTACGTTTCAGTTCAACAACTAAATATTAAGCATCTGCAATGGGCAAGGCTTTGTGCTATTTGTGGGAATTTTAATTTATTTTGAAAAGACCTATAATTTTATTGATGTAGGGAGTGCTGGGTGGGAAAACTTCTACCCATATAGATCAGTGGATAGTCTTAGAGAGTTGCCTGGGGCACTCAGAAGTAAGAGATTTGCCCAAGGTCACACAGCACTTTGTTATCACTGGTGCAATTAGAAACCAGCTGTTCCTGACTTTGAGGCCAGGTCTCTGCACTGTACTCTTGTGCGTCTTAGGCATGGAAAAACAAACATCAAATAAGAAGCAGCCCCTGGCTTTAAAGAGATTTCATTCTAATCAGGTAGATGAGGTATATTCTTAAAATGAAATTAAAATAGAAGTCCAAAGGTCTTAAAAGATGGGAAGAGGGATGATTAGGGCACATTTCATGGAGGAAATGGGCTTGGAAAGAGGATGCCAGTAGTAGATGAAGAAGAAAGAGTTATGGGGAAAGGGAAAAACTTCAGTTCAGTGTGCATTCTTGTCACTTCAATTAAAAAAAAAAAACATTAAGTGCCTACTATCTCATTTGTGTTTTATAGTTGCTAACTGTGCCCAGTACAAAAATGCACTTAGAGTTCATTCTACAAAAAGACATCTTATTGACAACTTTGCTTGAGTGTATAAGTTCTATAAAATTAAATATACCTATACTGAATGCTTTCGTATAAGCTCCAGTGGACAAGAACTGTTTTCTCTAAACTGGTATCTCCCTCAACACCTGTAATAGTGCTATTGACATGTATTATTACATGTTTGACATTTGTTGAATGAATGAGTGAATATATGCAAGTTGGAGTAGGGGAAGGAAGGAGAAAAGGTTTTACCTCTCAAAAAAGAGGAAAAAATCCCCAGAAACTACCACTGTCCCTGCTCTTTGAGTAATTTACAATTCAACTGAGAAGGCAAAACTTATCCCCAAAATGATTCAGGAACAGCTCTACTCACAACAGAAGAAAGCACTGGAAGATTAGTTTAAAATAGTCCCTTGGAAGGCTTGGTGTGCGAAGTAAAGGATGGTCTATTGCTCAGTAGGCGCAAGGGGCCATTTAATATTGTTGTCATTCCACACTTAAAAAAGAAAAGGCGGACACTTCTGTACATGCTTAGGACAGAAAACAGAATCATTTAGAAAGTCATCATGGGTTATATAAAGCTGGCATTCTATTAGTAGAGAGCATTATAATTGCCCGACAGTGATTAGAAGGGAAAGGGGTATATGGGAATGCGTAAAACACTCTAGCTTCTAGATAGTTACAATGTATTACCCATTTTTGTATCTCTAGAACAATACCTTGCACAGATGCTCAAAAGTTTGATAAATTGAATTATCTTTAGTCTTTTATTGGGGGGAACAAAGAACTGAGGACCATAGATTTATACTCAAAAGGAACCTTGGAGATCAAGGCTGAGTAAACCCTTTGGCTTCAATTAGCAATACCAGTTGTTGTCCAGGGATACAAATACTACCCCCTCCTCCCCCAACAAAACAAACAAAAAAACCCAACCCTGTCCTTCATAAATTTACATCCTAATAGAGGAAGACTTTATACATAGGGGAGTATTGCCCAGGGAGGAGTGAAGTCATGGGGATAGTGACTTAGGATCATAGGACAATGTAAATTTTCCTTGCAGAAAGGATTGTTGGAATATTTTCAGATACTTAAAATAGTATAGTTCAGAGTTGGACATGTAAATTATGTGATAACTGAGTGGGTTATAATATGTAGCATAATCTCATTATTCAATTTAGTTGGCATTATACAGCCCTTATTCAGCTGCTCATAAGCAGCTGTTGACATTTAGAAGGGGAGCAATTCCTGTGGATTTGTAACTGGTTAAGTGAAGGGTAAGAAATGGTCTTTATGAACGTTTAACAATCCAGAAGTTGAACAATATGGAGTATATGCATTCAAGATTTCCTGTAGCTTGAATTACTATAACTTTTTTTTAAAAAATCTCATTTGTGCTTTTGCTTTTTTCTCATTAAGGAAAATGTTCAGTTAGAAGACATACTTCATTTTCTTGCGAGAGAAGGAATTGATTCCCTTGCTACTACAGAAGATCAGCTTTGTTACATCTGGCGTTTATTCCAACATAGTGAGGATAGGCTGAGAACTGCTTCTAGAGACTTGGAAGAGCTCAGAGTAAAACACATGGAAGAAATGAAAGAAGTAAGAGCAAATAATACAGAATTATTCCTTTATATAGCCTTATTGTTCTCTATGAGCTATTTTCCTATGTTTGTTTATAATTTTTTGTTTACTTTTTGTTTACTACTTTTGTTTACTCTTTTCCATTTTTCAAAATGATAGCTTCCAAGAAGAGTGCATGAAGGATTCTGTTTTCAGAATACTTCTCTGCCATCACAGACAAATCAATTTCACAGTAGTTTCAGGAAATGTATTATTATTTTAATAGGGTTTACGTCTAGGCTGTTGTGAAGCATATTTGAAATGACCTTTTTTTTTAAGGCTGTCAAAATTAACCAGAAACTACCAAAAAAAGAAAGTCCATAATTTTAAATTTTGCATTTTATAAACATTATTAACCTTATATGTTGGACAGACTCCTATATTTTGATGATCAGATTGAGTAGCATGATTTCATTCATGGGTAAAGAAGATAAGTCTCACAGCAATGCAAGGATGAGGTGGAGGCAGAAAGACCTGTTAAGAGATTATTACAATGATCAGGCAAGTGGTCATGTGCATCTGCATTAAGAGGAGGGGCTCTATCCAAGAAACAATCAGGAGGAAGAGGGATTTGGGTCCCTAGTCTTTCTGCTAACACCACCTCTGATCACGCTTTTGCTCTGTCCTTTTCTCTGCTCTCACAGTAAAGAAATTCATCTCTCCATTGAATACTGCCCTAATCTAATGACAGACTAAACAGAGCCTCAAGGCCGCAGGTTCACCACTCCTGGACTAAACATACAAACTGTACCCTTTATAAGTAACAGGTTACTTGATAATTGACTGCATTTATTTTCAGCAGAATTTTCTATAACTCTCTCCACTGATCATTGTTATAACTGACATTTAAATGGCGCATTAAGGTTTACATAGTGATTCATATACATCATCTCATTTGGTGCTCACAACTACAGATATTCTCTGTATTTTATAGCTGACGAAACTGAGGCTCAGAAAGGTTGAGAATCTTTTATTGTTGCTCCTCAAGGTATTCCCAAGCCAGTTACTTGTCTCAGTTTGTTCCCTCCCTATAAAGAAAATGGAACTCCAAAGGGACAATAGTCTCCCCATTTTAGGATGTAGGCATAGGTTAAGTGTTTTATCCCACGTCACGTAATTCATGTCAGAGGTGTAATTTAAACAAGGTCTTCCTGCCCCTATACATTATGCCATTCTATCAGAATGCACTGTTTCACGCAAAGTAGGACCATATGTAGATATATCCTCTGTTTTTCTCTCCATTGACTTTCCACCCTGCTAAAAAATTGACCATGTACTAGAGCATAAAAACCTCACAATCCACTGCAGAAAAGCAGAAATATTAAATGCATCCTTTTCAGATCATGATGCAATAAAAATTATATGTAATAAAGGCCGTGGAAAAATAGACTAAAAATTAATTGGAAACTAAATAATCTAATCCTAAAGAATAAGTGGGTCAAACAACAAATCATAGAAACAATCAATAACTTCATCCAAGAGAATGACAATAATGAGACAACATACCAAAACTTTTGTTATGCAGCAAAAGCGGTTCTTAGGACAACTTTTATGTCTCTAAATGTTTACATGAATAAAGTAGAGAAAGAGGAGATCAATGAATTGGGCATACAACTAAAAAAACTAGAAAAAGAACAAATTAAAAATCCCCAATTAAATACCAAATTAGAAAAATACTGAAAACCAAAGGAAAGACTAATAAAATTGAAATTAAGAAAACTATTGAACTAATAAATAAAACTAAGAGCTGATTTTATGAAAAAAAAACCCAATAAAGTAGACAAATCTTTGGTTAATTTAATTTAAAGAAAGAAAGAAGAAAACGAAATTACCAGTATAAAAAATGAAAAGGGTGAATCCACCACCAAGGAAGAGGGAATTAAAACAATAATTGGGAACTATATTGCCCAACTGTATGCCAATAAATTTGATAATCTTAGTGAAATGGATGAATATTTACAAAAATATAAATTGCCCAGATTAACGGAAGAGGAAGCGAAATACTTAAATGACCCCATTTCAGAAAAAGAGATTGAGTATGACTTTCCACACTGCTGTCCTAGCCATAGACCTAGTCCATTTGGAAGTCACCTACCAGGGGTAGAACAATGTTCTGTGAAGTTTTGATTCAGTCAAAGGGCCACATGTGGCTTTGAGGCCGCAGGTCCCCTATCCCTGACCTATACCGATCTATAAACTACCTTTTCAGTGTTCAAGGCTGTGTGAAAGTGAGGGCTGACTGGTAGCACTTGGCCCAGGAAAGCTTGCAAATCAAGGGCAAGGTCTGATTAGCCAGCCAAAGTATCTGCCCAGATAGCAAAGTGGAATGGAAGTGACCCTTTATTCTTCTTTAAAAATTAATTTATTTTTAGTTTTCAACATTCATTTCCATAAGCTTTTGCATTTTAAATTTTCTCCCTCTCCTTCCCCACCTCCTTCCCCAAGTCGGCATGCAATCTGATATAGACTCTACATATACATTCCTATTAAACGTATTTCACATTAGTCATGTTGTGAAGAAGAATTAGAACCAATAGGAGGAACCACAAGAAAGAAGAAACAAAACAAAACAGAAGGGAAAAAAAAGAGCAAATAGTATGCTTTGATCTGCATTCAAACTTCATAGTTTTTTCTCTGTATGTGGATAATATTTTCCATTATGAGACTTTTGGAGATGTCTTAGATCCTTGCATTGCTGAGAAGAGCTAAGTCTATCAAAGTTAATCATCGCACAGTGTGGCTGTTGCTGTGTACAGTGTTCTTCTGGTTCTGCTCACTTCACTCAGCATCAGTCCATACAAGTCTTTTCAGGTTTTTCTGAAGTCTGCCTGCTCATCATTTCTTTTTTTTTTTTTAGGCAATTGGGGTTAAGTGACTTGCCTAGGGTCCCATAGCTAGTAAGTGTCAAGTGTTTGGTCTGAGGCCAGATTTGAACTCAGGTCCTCTTGACTTGAGGGCCGATGCTCTTATCCACTGTGCCATCTAGCTGCCACATTGCTCATCCTTTCTTACAGCACGATAGTATTCCATTACATTCATATACCACAACTTGTTCAGCCATGGGTATCCCCTCAATTTCCAATTCTTTGCCACCACAGAAAGAACTGCTATAATTATTTTTGTACATGTGGGTCTTTTTCCCATTTGTATGATCTCTTTGGCATATAGCCTTAGAAGTGCTATTGCTGGGTTGAAGGGTATGCACATTTTTATAGCCCTTTGGGCATAGTTCCAAATTACTCTCCAAATGGTTAGATCAGTTCACAACTTCACCAACATGTTAATGTTCCAATTTTCCCACATCTTCTCCAATATTTATCATTTTCCTGTTTGGTCATGTTAGCCAACCTGATAGGTATAATATGGTACCTCAAAGTTGTTTTGATTTGCATTTTTCTAATCAATGGTGATTTAGAACATTTTTTCATATGGGTATAGATAGCTTTAATTTCTTCCTCTGGAAGTTGTTTGTTGATATCCTTTGACCATTTATCAATTGGGAAATGACTTGTATTCTTATAAATTTGACATAGTCCTCTATTTTAGAAATGAGCCCCTTATCAGAGATACTAGGTATGAAAATTCTTTCCCGGTTTTCTGCTTCCCTCCTAATCTTGGTTGCATTGGCTTTGTTTGTGCAAAAACTCTTCAATTTAATATAATCAAAATTATCCATTTCATAATGTCCTCTATTTCTTGTTTGGTTATAAATTCTTCCATTTTCCATAAATCTGACAGGTAAACTATTCCTTGTTTTCCCAGTTTACTTATAGTATCAGCTTTTATATCTAAATCGTGTATCCATTTTGACTTTATTTTGGTATAGGGTATAAGATTTTAGTCTATGCCTAGTTTCTACCATACTTTTTTTCCAGTTTTCCCAGCAGTTTTTGTCAAATATTGAGTTCTTATCCCAAAAGCTGGGGTCTTTGGGTTTATCAAACAGTAGGTTACTATAGTCATTGACTGTTGTGTTTTGTGTACCTAACCTGTTCCACTGATCCACCACTCTATTTCTTAGCCAGTACCAAGTAGTTTTGATGATTGCTGCTTTATAATACAATTTAAGATCTGGTATGGCAAGACCACCTTCCCTAGCATTTATTTTCATTAGTTCCCTTGATATTCTGGACCTTTTGTTTTTCCAGATGAATCTTGTTATTATTTTTGCTAGCTCTATTAAATAATGTTTTAGTAGTTTGATTGGTATGGCACTGAATAAGTAAATAAATTTAGGTAGAATTGTCATTTTTATTATATTAGCTCAACCTACCCATGAGCAACTGATGTTTTTCCAGTTATTTAGATCTGACTTTCTTTGTGTGAAAAGTGTTTTGTAATTGTGTTCATATAGTTCCTGGGTTTGTTTCAGCAGGTAGACTCCTAAATATTTTATAATGTCTATAGTAACTTCAAGTGTGATTTCTCTTTCTATCTCTTGCTGTTGAGCTTTTTAAGATAATATGTAGAAATGCTGTTGATTTATGTGGGTTTATTTTATATCCTGAAACTTTGTTAAAGTTGTTTATTATTTCAAGTAGTTTTTTATTTGATTCTCTAAGATTCTATATCATATCATCTGCAAAGAGTGATAGCTTTGTTTCTTCTTTGCCTATTCTAATACCTTCAATTTCTTTTTCTTCTCTTATTGCTAAAGCTAACCTTTCTAGTACCATATTGAACAACAGTGGTGATCTATATTGAACAACAGTGGTGATGTGACCCTTGATCCACAAAGGCTTTGCCAGTGGAGTGCAAACTCAGGATAGGTCCTATCTAGCTAGCCTACTGGACAGTTGGCATGTTCTTGATAAAAAAAAAAGACAACATAGTTCTTTATCCTGTCATCTGACCCTACTAGTCTTCTTGTAGATAAATCCCACTTTTTTGTAATTCCTACATATGGCTGATGTACTTGGAATATACATCCACTATGTCCCTGTATTTTTCTGGTGGTAATAAATGAGCATTGAAAATTCGCCATTAAGGAAGCTTTGGAGTATCACTTAGACACTGAAGCCTCTCCAAATATTTTACTAGACTAAAAAGTTTAGGGAAAGGACCTATGATTCTGTATGTAACTTGCATAACCTGGAATTGGTCAAAGAATTCTACCATTGCAACCCTTCCTAACCAGGAGAGACACTCCAGGAATAGACTTGTCATCATAACTTATTTGGAGTACAGCTGCAAAGCATTAATAAGAAAGGGAAGGGGAGAATAGTATGGCCATACATCTTCAGTATAAATAGATGCTGCTACAGACTCTGTAGTCATTCAGATTTTCAGATCAGGCAGCAGTGAATTCCTAGGTCTCTTACATCAGATTTTTGCCTCCAGTTTGAGGTAGCTAGGTGGTGCAGTGGATAGAATAGTTGGGCTGAAATCAAGAAGACCTGAGTTCAAATCTTGTTTCAGACAATTAGTAGCTGTAACCGGGCAAGTCACTTAACCTTTGTCAGCTTCAATTTCCTCAACTGTAAAATTGGGCTGAGAATAGCACCTACTTCCCAGGGTTCTTGTGAAGATCAAATGAGATAATCTTTGTAAAATGCTTAGCTAGCACCTGGCTCATAGTAGATGATGCTTAATAAATGCTTGTTTCCTTCCTGCCAATTTGGTTCATTGCATTTGACTTTCAAATTGGTCTTTAGTACTCTTTACCTGTGCTGCTATTTATTTTTTTGGAGATGGGAACTATGCCTACTTGGACTCAGACTGTGCTAGGTTATTACTTCTGGTTCATACCACAAGTAAGAATTGGATCTGGATCACCTATCCTATTCAGCTGTTACACTGATCTCTGGATGCTACCCCACCAAACCTTGGCTTGGAACATTCTTTTTTTTTATTATTATTATTCTTTTTAGGCAGTTGGGGTAAAGTGACTTGTCCAGGGTCACACAGCTAGTAAGTGTCAAGTGTTTGGTTCGAGGCCAGATTTGAACTCAGGTCCTCCTGACTTCAGGGCCGGTGCTCTATTCACTGCACCACCTAGCTGCCCTGTGGATCATTCTTGTTCCGAAGTCAAAGGGTCTATCTTTGTACCTGGCAAGCCCAATCCACTGGTGCAAGGCAATATCACGGAAACAGTTGCACTATACATGTCTGTCAGATGAAACTCAAATGAGATGAGTGTGAATGTTATAGTGAGGATTCTTTTCATGGATGGACTGCTGAGTCCTTTTGACTTCTCAAATGCTCTGATTCTGTAAAAATACTTCACAGAATGCCAGATATTGCTACTATTGTCACCTCCACTAAAATGGAGCTGTAGAAGCCACCCAAAGCTCTTGAAAGCTTTGCCCGTGGAACATGAAATTGAGAAGGCAGTATTGCCTGGTGGATAGAGCCTTGGACTTGGGGTCAAGAATATTCGAGTTCAGATTTTAACATCTGATATGTATTAGCTGTGTGACTTTGGGAAAATAACTGAACTTCCCTAAGCTTCATTCTCCTCATCTTTAAGATGAGGGGCTTGTACATGTCCTCTAATGGATCTTCCAACCTTAGCTCCGAGCCTCTGAAAGCTGGCAAAGCTTGGCATGGGCTCAACAAAGGACTTTATTAACCAAAGATCAACCTAATAACCAAGTTTGATGAGGCTCATCAATGGAAGGCTGTTCACTAGGTGATAAATTTTTTTGGATATCCAGGTTAAGGATGCCGTCCACCAAAGTGTAGAGAGTGAAGTCAAAGACTGGTGAAGTATTTGAAATGCCACTTGCCATAAGAAGTGATAGTTATCAAAACTTCTATCTGCAGATTATTTGACTGCTTTATTTTGATTCTAAAATGCCCTAGAGATGTGTTCAATGGTGGTTGCTACTTCTGTTTTAGGTGGAACATTATGTGAATCATGTCCGTCAATTAACAGAAGAAAGAGAAGCCTTAACTCATGATTTTGAAAAAGAGAGTGAGAGACTTCAACTTGAATTTAAAGAACTGCAGCTCCAACAGGGTAACTTTTTGACCTTTTATTTAAAAGTTTTCAGTGGTTTGTTCTTTTAACCACATTAGGTAAAAGTACATGGAAGAGTACAGATGAGGTTACTATAAGTGAAATACTACAGTGATGGTGATCAAATGTAGTAGAACCCCATGATTGTGTGATTTGTAGCTGTTTAGTTAGACTGCTTTGGAGCTCAGAGGTTATTGGGATCTCTTCAGATTATCAGTGTGTTTCCAAGTCTGAATACTCTAGATTCTAGAGTCTAGAATGTAAACTCTTAGAGGACAAAGATTATGGCAATGTTGTTTTGGAATCCTCAATGCCTTATAGAGTGCCTTATGTTGAGTAGGCATTAATGGTTGCTTTTTGAATAAATCATTGACCATGAGCAAGTCACTTAGCCTCATAAATTCACTTTCAAGCCCCATTATTCAATTTCCTCATCTCTAAAGTGGGAATAATAATAATCAGGATACTTATCTCATAGTGTGATTGTGAGGACAAAATGAGATAATATGTACAAAATGTAAAACTTAAAGCTGATATGTAAACGTCATCTGATATTAGTATTAAGGGCATGAGCCTTGTAAGTAAAGTACTTGTATACAGTGATTAATATTTCTGTGATATTTAACAAAATAAGGAAAGAACAAAGACCCAAAGTGGACACTAAAGCTAAGTTGGGCTGGTCTCAAGGGCTGACTGAAGGATATTATGGGAAAATAGAGAACAGTCAACAAGCACTTGGTCTGAGCCATCTAAGTGGGAGGTTACCTATACTTAGGAAGCTGAATCAGTTGCTTAGCAGGCCTGTAATTGCCAAAAGATTATGTAACTCATTAAGAAAAATCTAGTAAGAAGCAGGGACCCTGGGCACAGTTCCAGGGCCAAGAGGAGTGCTAGTGCTTGCAGCTATAGGGGAGCAGGGACCCTTCCTAGGTAAAGAGCAGAACAGAAACCAGAAGAGCAGTGACCACACCTCTCCTTGGATCACACCACCTTCAAAGCACTGAAAATGTGGCACACCCCTAGAACTAGCTCTGAAAATAGTAGCATGAAAACACCTGAAGCTTAGGACAGTGCCTTCTTACCCCTAGGTGAGCAGAGCCCAACTTTAACATAAAATTCAACCCAACTTTAACATAAAATTCGAAGTCAAGAAATAGGCTGGAAAAATTAGCAAATAACAACCACAACAAAAAGAAAAAAAACAACTTGACCATAAAAAGCTATTACAATGGTGGGAAAGACCAAGACACAAACTCAGAAGATGATAGTAATGCAAAAACTGCTACAACCAAAGCTTCAAAGTAAAATGCTAAGGAACACAAGTCCAACAAGAATTCCTGGAAGAGTTAAAGAAAGAGAAAAGAGTGGTAGATGAAAAAATGGAAAAAAAAATAAGAGTGATGCGAGACAATTATGAAAAGAGAATTAACAGCTTGCTAAAAGAAGCACAAAAATATTGAAGAAAATATCACTTTAAAAAACAAAATTGGCTTCATGGAAAAGGAGGTACAAAAATTCTCTGAAGAAAAGAACTCTTCAAAAAACAGAATTGGCCAAATGAAAAAAGGTACAAAAAGCTCATTGAAGAAAATGATTCCTTGGACAAGTGGAAGCTAATGACTCCATGAGGCATCAAGGAACAAAAAAAAAAGTCAAAAGGATGAAAAAACAATAGAAGAAAATGTGAAATATCTCATTGGAAATACAACTGACCTGGAAAATAGCTGAAGGAGAAATAATTTAAGAATTATTGGACTACCAGAAAGCCAAGATCAAAAAAAGATCCCAGATATCATAATTCAAGAAATTATAAAGGAAAACTGCTCCCAAATCTTAGATACAGAGGGTAAAATAGAAATGGAAATAATTCTCTGATCACCTCCTGAAAGAGATCCCAAAATGAAAACTGCAAGACATACTATAGCCAAATTCCAGAGCTCCCAAGTCAAGGAGGAAATAGTGCAAGCAGCCAGAAAGAAACAATTCAGATATTGTGGAGTCACAGTCAGCATCACACAAGATTTAGTGGCTCGCATATTAAAGGAATGGAGGACTTGGGATATGATATTCTGGAATGCAAAGGACATAGGATTACAACCAAGAATAACCTACCCAGCAAACTGAGTTTAATCCTTCAGGGGAGAAAATAGATATTTAATGAAATAGAGGACTTTCAAGCATTCCTGATGAAAGGACCAGAGCTGAATAGAAAATTTGACATTCAAACACAAGACTCAGGGAAAGCATAAAAAGGTAAACATGAAAGAAGTCATAAGGGACTCAGTATGGTTAAGCTGTTTACACTGCTGTATGGTCAGATGATTTATGTAACTCCTAAGAACTTTATCATTATTAAGGCAGATAAAAGGAGTTTACATAGACATAGGGCATGAGTATGAGTCTGTTATATTGGGATGATCTCTAAAAAAGAAATGAAGGGGTACAATAGAGGAATGCACTGGGAGAAGGGAAAGAAAGAGTGGAGAAAGTGTTCCCTCATAAGAGGCACACCAGGAAGAACTTTTGTGATGCTTGAACCTCACTCTTATCTATCCTACTCCATAGGGAAATAGGAGAGGAAGGGGATAAGAGAAAAGAGGATTGATAAAAGGGAGAGTGGATTAATGGAGGCTGTGGTTGGAAGCAAAATAATCTTTTGAGCAAGGTCAGGATAAAAGAGAGAGAAAAAGAAACAGTAGAAAATGGGTTGAAGGAAATACACAGTAATCAGAACTGTGAATGCAAATGAGATGAGCTCACTCATAAAACGGAAGCAGATAGCTGAATGGATTAGAAACCAGAATCTAACAATATGTTGTTTACGAGAGACACACTTGAAAGAGAAACATATACACAGTTAATCCGAAAAAAATGCTCTAAATCATGATTGATTAGAGAAATACAAATTAAAACAATTCTGAGGTACCACCTCACACCTATCAGAAATGACAAGTGTTAGAGGGGATGAGGGAAAATAGCAACACTTAAGCACTGTTCATGGAATAGTGAACTGGTGAACTCCACTATTCTGGAGAACAATTTTGAACTATGCCCAAAGGGCTATAATACTGTGCATATCCTTTGACTTAGCAATACCACTACTAAGTCTTTACTCCCAAAGAGATCAAAGGAAAAGAATCTATGTATACAAAAGTATTTGTAGCAGCCCTTTTTGTGGTGACAAAGAATTGGAAATTGAGGGGATGCTTATCAGTTGAGGAATGGCTGACCAAGATGTGGCATATGATTGTGATAGAGTACGATTGTGCTATAGGAAATGACGAGGAGGGTGGTTTCAGAAAAACATGGCAAGACCTATATGAACTGATGCAAAGTGAAGTGAAAAGAACCAGGGGATCATTGTGCATAGTAATAGCAATGTTGTAATTACTAATCAACTGTGAAAGACTTGGCTACTCTGATCAATACAATGATCCAAGACAGTTCCAAAGGACTCATGATGAAAAAAGGCTATCCACCTCCAAAGAGAGAACTGATGAACTATAAATGCAAATTGAAGTATCATTTTCTTACTGTCTTTATTTTTCATTGCTTTTTTTTTCAATATGGCTAACATGGATATATGTCTTACATGATTTTGCATGTATAATTGATATATTGCTTGCCTTCTCAGTGCAGGAGGAGGAGGTGGAAGAGAGGGAGAGCATTTGGAGCTCAAAATTTTTAAAGAAAAGAACGTGAAAAAATAAATAAAAGAAAAATCTAGTAAACCACCACTTCACTACAGAGAACGTTTGGAATGGAACTCCTCATGCCCTGAATCAAATGCGTCATTCCTGTAGATGATGCTAAACACAGCACGTCAAATGTTTTATTCTGAATTCTCCTTTTCTTAGTCTCCATTCCACCTTCTGGCATCTCCTGATTTCTTTGTCTTCACCTCAGTCTTTCACTCTTAGGTCAAATGCCTTAACAAATGTATGTTGTCTTTCCCTCCCTGATGGACACTAGGTCATGGCCAAGTCTTGTTCATCAGTTAAGGATTGAATCTTATACTGAGAATTGAGCCTATTAGCAAGAAAACATGCTTAAGATTGGAAGTAGGGTATACATCATGCATTAAACTTTTAACGAAAAGGTTATAGCAATGTATTCTCAAGTACTAAATGGTCTAATCCTTAATTCATAATGATAACTATGACTAGCATTTAAAAGAAAAGTTACTTTATATAGGAATTTTTAAACAAAAGCAATTTATTTTTATCCACTGGATAATCTCATTACAAGAAAGGGGTACTTGTAGCCTACTTGTGTGGACTTTTCCTGGCTTTGATTTCATCGAGCCCCCCATAGCACGAGGGTAGCTGTAAAAATGTGAAGTCACTGTAAAAACTGGTAAGCAGTATTTGAAACTGCCACAAGATGTTGATATTATTCCATGGAAATCTGTTTCTTTGTATCTGTATGTCTTATCTCTTGATAAACATACGGTTGTCTTTTTCTATGTTTCTGTTACTGTGTGTCTCTTTGTCTCTCAGTCATATGTGTTTATACGCAGGTGTACCTTGCCTAGTGTTGCGCCAGTCAACCTAATTTTTCAAAAAACATCTTTAAGACTTTGTAAATAAACTCCTTCATGATGTCCTCAGCCCTGTTACTATTCTAAACCAGTAGTCTGAGGTCATCACAGACCAGCCCCATATCCCTATGCCCTACCTGTTTAGCATGATATTGGCCTGGGCAGCTTTTTCTCCACTCTTAGAATGAGTAGCTGTGACTTGTCTAGCTGTCAAAGTGATTCTAGCTCCACTGTATTCAGCCTTGTTTCTATGAAACTAATTGCCCTCATCATCATCAGCAACCTGCTATTGCTACCAGAGGCATTTTAGATTTTCCCTAAAATTATTTTCATGAAACCACTTAATGACATTTGGCAAAGCATGCTTGTGATACTGTCTGATGTAATATCCCCCTCCCCTTTTTTGAATAATATAAGTTATTACAAAAAATAACCTCATGCATTTTTTAGCATAAACTGGCTTAGTAAATTCATTACCTTCAAATTTTGTAAAATTCAGTAGTATACTTTAAATAAGCAAAATAAATGAACCCTGGTAATTTCATGCCAAATATATTAGTCACCAGTGGATATATATTTGGTTGTGGCTGTGGCTATGGCTGTGAAAGGTACAGTTGGCTGGTGGTACTTCTTCTGCCCCTTGTGCCTTGCTGTATAGGGGAGAGGGAAAGCCAAATCTTTCCCAGGTTTTTCCTGTCTCTTATAGAGGAAGTAGTTTAGGGTGTCATCTTTTCTCTAATCATTGCCCTCTCTATGTGGTGCTTTTGTCTATTGTGGAATTTTTATCAGTTGAATTTATTTTAGGCGATAAGTCTGTAATACAATCACAATATCTCAGAGCTCCCAGTTTGGAAAATTTCTAACAGTAAGGCAGAGGTTTGGCTTTCTATCTTAATTTAAATTTATGCTTATCTTTAGATAATCCTTGGCCTCTATATGTTTGAGGCCAAAAATCAGGATACAAGAAATGTTTAGGCAAGAGAAGTGAGCAGAATATATTACAGTGTCTGTTATGGACAGACATGGAGTGGAGGACCTGAGGACAGAGAAGACCTTTGTTTGATACTTCCTTCAGGCCTTGAAGTAGCTGCTGTTCCAGGAAGCTTGAGCACTGAGATACCTAGAGGGGTCTAATGGCCCTTCTCGATCTCATTCTTTTTCTGTTGCAGCTCAACCTTCCTTTTAATTTCTCCTTTCCATTTGTTCTTTTCACCTGTTGCTTCTGTGCCACTAATTCTTTCCATTGCAGTTTGTTAAGTTCTAGGTGGGGGTTGGCATGCTGTTTCCCCATTGCTTCCCCCCACGCCTACTTGAAGTCCCCACTCCTTTTTCTGAGTCTGTGTCTCAAAGACTGTTTAGATCCCTTGAAGAGCTCCTGGACATAACTCGAGCTCACCTTTTTGGCTCCACGATTGTGATAACCCCAAATTGCTTTCAGGGCTGAGAGGGAATATTTGTTCCTCTAAACTACAAATGCCAGGATACCAATCAATTCTCAAATACCTATTAAAGCAAAGTTTTAGAGCTGGAAGAGACATGTGATATTATCTAATCCAACCTTCTCATTTCACAGATGAAACCCAGGGAGCTTAAGTGTGTAGCCTAACATAGTACAGCTACAGAAGCAGAACTAGGACTAGAAGCAGGTGTCCTAATGTCCAGACAAATTATTCTACTAGTATACCATATATATTACTGTTCAATTTGGGTCTGCATTTTAAAATTTCATCATAATCTTTTCAACTTTCTGTCGATGGCAAATTAAACAACAGGGAAGACTTCAATTTATTGTTTGGATCTTTTCTGTTGTTCCCCTTTGTTTTCTAGAAAGTTAGAAAAAACCATGGACTAGGTGGGAGTAGGGAGGCCAAGAGGTGGGAGGGGAGCTGTGCAGCTTTCAAAAGCCTCTTTTGTTAGGTATCAAAGCATAGACTTACTTAACCACTTTGAACAAGGATTAGATGTTGGAGATTTTGAAATATATTAATTTGCTAATTGTATAATTCTTTTACTTTTGTAATTTGTTCCTCCCAGAGATCGAGCTAAAGGAGATTGAAGGAATGTTGGATCAGGAGGGCTTATCAGAAATAGCTCAGAGCAGTCCCAGTGAACAGATTGCATATTTATTGGTAGAGAGAACAACATTGTTGGAGAAGCTGGAATTGGCTGATCCCAAGTTAGATTCATATAACTCAGTGGTTTATGGCCTTCAGGAAGTTCATCTTAAGGTATGCCACAATTAACTTTGAACCCAAATAATAAATTAATGGCTAAAAATTAATGCTTTCCTCCCCCCACCTCACCAAGATAAAAATATAGGCCACTTTCTCAATTATCTGTGCCAGTAGAAGAGAACAATAAATGACAAATACAAAAAAAATTGTTTTGGTTGCCTTCTAAATGTTTCATATAATATTTTTGTTGTAGAAGAATTATCCTTACAATTAAATTTTGCTTAGGTTAATGTTACAATTATTTTGTATTCCTCACTCATAAACTTACTGAGAAAAAGCATTTTAATTATTAAAGGTTAGAATATGACCTAGGAATCCTAGTTTGGCAAGGTGTAACTTATGTATTCAGACAAAATTATACTTTTCTGTCTTTATGATGCATCAACAAGGTCTAGAATGTCACCACCATTGATTTCTTTATTTGAGTTCAAACAGTATTCTCCTTTTTCCCAAAAGATTATTGACATTGGTTTCACTTAATTTATCTTTTGGTATCAGGATGAATTTGAACAAATCCAGACATTAGAAGATGAACTTCAAAAACAACAGGAATCCTTGCAGTGGCCAAAAGAAACTCTGAATAAGGTAAAATGTTTTTATAGTTTTTTCTTCAATTTTAGGATCACAATTCTAAATTATCTAAAAGTACATTAAAATACAAAACTGACTATAAAATAAAAATGAATGATTTTTTTACAGATGGTCCATACTTCACATCTGAATGAATATTGTCCTTTTTTCAGTATTGTTCCTTTAAAAGTAGTTTCTTTGTGAGGTTTTGCATTTATTCCAATGATTCTGCTATTACTTAAAACATTTTGCAGCTGCTACTTGGGAACTGGCTTCAAGGCCTGTGGTGTATCTTTTGAATATCCTCTCTATGATTGTAGGTCTCCATGCTTGTAGGGTGGATTTGAGTTTTTGAAAGAGCCAAAAAAATCCTACAGAGCAATATTTGGTGAATGAGTTTGTTGTGTCCTGTTCTCCTGTGGGAGCTGAGAGAGAGTAAGCATAGTCCAAAGACTCAGGAGAAAGACAGAAAATAAGTTGTGGGGAAATGGAGGGTGAATGTAAGTCAACTAAGAGTGCCCAGATGGACAAACTAAAAGCTAGTCCAGAAGTCAAAGACAGACAACCACAAAGTAACAGACCCAGGGGGCTGGGCTGAAAAACTTAGTTTGGATTCAGGAACATTAGGTCTGGAGTCAAGGTCGGGGGTGGAGGGGTACTGAAGGAGAGCTTCCCAACAAGTAGAATCAGGAGCTTACCTGAAAAGAAGAAGCACAAGGCTTTGAATAATGACAGTTTGCTTTATGCAAAGAATAGCAGTGTCCTACTATGGCCATCTTCCCACCCCAACAGGAGGCAGTGGATGTACAGGAAGTGGAGAGGGTGAGAGGGAGAGAGAGACAGAGAGGCTTCTGCCTCAGATGTTGGCTGGCTGTGTGGCTTGGGGACAGGCCATTTAACCTCCGTGAGGCTCAGCTTCTTCAACCATAAAATGGAGAGAATAATAGCACTTATTGTGTAGGTTTGTTGTGAAGATCCAAGGAGATATTAGTAAAATGCTTTGCAAACCTTAGGGCTTTATAACGGTCAGCTGTTATTATTATCTTCCCATCTGCCCAGCTCAGCTGAACACAGTAAAGCTGTGGGCTTGGATATTGCCTCTCCTGGAATATTTCTGTAGAGCCCAAGGCCATGAGTTTATAATGAAAGGCTTCCATCAGCTCAAGTTATTACAGATTTGGTGGGCCCAGAATCCACCAAACACCCAAGACAGCCCTATTGCCTTTATGATTCCAAGTTGTCTCTGTTATATTATTCTTATCTGTCCAGGATTATTGGTGGTGGGTGGGGTTTTGATATATGTAGGTCATGTTTTAGATTAACGTGTTGCATCAAAGACTAGTGGAAAATGGGATAGACCAGGGGTGGGGCACCTGTGGCCTTGAGGCCGCATGTGGCCTTCTGGGTCTTCAGGTGCAGCCCTTTGACTGAATCCAAACTTCACAAAACAGATTCCGTTAATAAAAGGATTTGCTCTGTAAAACTTGGACTCAGTCAGAAGGCTGCACCGAGAGCCTAGAAGGGATCATCACCCACTGTACATGATCAGGAAGGGACCTATTGACTGATGTGCCGATTTTGTAGGTTGTGTGTACAAACATTGGGTACCTAGCTATACTCAGCCTTTGACCTGGAAAGAAGCACTGTGCTAAGTTTTAGGGATAAAAGTTTCCAGAATCCCTGCCCTCATTCTACTTGGGTCACATAGCACATCTAGGAGAGTTTAGCTGCAAGGTAGATGCCAGGACCTGGAGGTCCTGAGTTCACAGCTGCAGGAATGACAACAAGGCCCCTGGGTCCATAGGATGCCTTGGCAGGTCAAATGGCCATGCATAGAAGGCATGGTAGTAGGAAGACTGAGTGACACTTAGGGCAGGGTAGCAAGACATAAGACAAGGCTTGCTAGGCCTCAGTCTTAACCAGAATTGGAGTTGGTGACTCCCTCCTCTTCCAAGAGGTGTGAGTGGCCATGTCCGATAGGAAAGTCAGGAATAGGAGGTGGAAGGACTTGGCCCACCACCAGTAGAACATGAGTGGGCTGGAGGGTTGGACTGAAGTAGGGACTCTGAGTTCCCTCCTCAAATGCTGAGGATGGAGGGGAGAGTGGGTGAGAGATCAGCATCTTGCCAGGATGGAGGAAAGGAAAGGGAATTTTGGCAGCAAGGTTGGTGGAGAATCACTTCCTGAAATACCTGCTTCTTGTTGGGTATACTAGATGGTATCACCACTGATTTATAGCTTTGGCTGTCTGCTATGTTATAAGTCAGCCTGGGTAGCCTTCAAGGTCTGAGCATGGAGAAAAATGGGGTGCTACACTCATAGTGTGTATAAAGGGTTTAAGGTGAACAGAATTCACCCTTGGTCAGTAGGTTGAGGCATTCATCTGTGATATGATATATTGTGCTTAAGATACTACTTACAAGTATGATTGGTATACCATTCATTGAAGTAGAATGACGTGCTATGGAGAGGTAAATGTTACTTATAGAGTGGTGACCAGGATAGTCCAAAAGTATGGGATAAACTGGGGATCTTGGGAGATGTGAGGGAAGATTATAGAGCCATAAAATGAATTAAGGGAACAGGTGAGTAGCTAGCTTCAGTGAGGTTGGAAGGTCTTTGACAAGTGAGAATATGAATCATTATAATAATGTCAGATGTCCTTAAATAGACTCACTTGCTCTGGGCAGTGAGGCTGTCAAACCAGCCTTATTCCATCATTCAAGAATTGGTGCTTTAGAGCGGTGCTTCATAAACTGTGGGTCGTGGCCCCACATGAGGTCACATAACTGAATGTGGGGGTTGTGAAAAATTTGGCAAGAATGAAAGGTTTCTGAATGCGCAACTAAGAACTAATTCAAAATCAAACGTGTAATGAATCTGAGGTGTTTCTGGTAACACTTGCTCACATTGCATTGCACAACTTCACTGCAGCCCTGGTGCACTGCGCATGCTTTCACGCCATGAAATGCCAGTGAATGCTTCCAGAAACACTTCAGCTCAGATTCAAGACTATTGTATGTTGTGAATTGCAGTGTTTTTACTGTATATACAAAGTTTTCTGCTCTTACAGAAACATAATAGTTTAATTCTGGAAAATAAAGACTTTTAATATTTTCCTACCGTCATTCCTCAGCATGTAAGTATCAAATTAGCATATCTTTGGATTGTATTATAGTAGAATGTTTGATTTTTTAAATTGCTGTTATCTCCTTCTTTTACAGAAACATAAGTGTTTAATTGCATCAAGTAAAGACAAAAGCCCTTTAATAATATTTCTCCACCATCACTGTTGTATGTGTATGTAAGTGTGAACATCAGTTTTTAAAATTAAGTACAAACAAATGTAATTTCGGGGGCAGCTAGGTGGTGCAGTGGGTAGAGCACTGGCCCTGAAGTCAGGAGGACCTGAGTTCAAATCCGGCCTCAGACACTTACTAGCTAGCTGTGTGACCCTAGGCAAGTCACTTAACCCCCCATTGCCTCCAAAATAAAAGCAACAACAACAAAAAAAACCAAATGTAATTTCATACACTAAAGCTAGTATTTATTTGAGAAATTATTAGAGCAATATTTATTTATATTTTAGGACAAAAATATTTTTCAGTTATAGTTAAGTGGCTAAATTTAGACAGAAGAGGTGAAAGTACTGATGAGAATGCGGCAGAGTCTTTGCTGCCAGGTTGAAGTACACTAAATTGACTAGAAAAAGAAAATATGTCAAATCATTTTTGCAATGTGGATTTACTTCTAATGATGATGGTGTGGAAAAACCTCTTTGCTTAATTTGTAATGAAGTTTTGGCTATGGTGAGCACGAAACCAGCCAAAGACAACATCTTTAATACCAAGCATGCAGCATACTGTGATAAACCAAAGGAATATTTTGAATGACTTTTAAAATCTTCAAATTAAGAAAAACAATGTTTTGAGAAATTTGTTATAGTCAACAAAAAAGTATTTACTTGCATCTTATATAACTTCTTATTTAACTGCAAAAACTAAAAAGCCCTATGCAGTAGGAGAAGATCTCATGTTACTGCTGCTATTAAAATGTCAGAAATGGGTCATGGCAAAAAGCATGGAGATGAAATTCATAAAATTCCTTTATCAAATGATACTGTTTCCAAAAGAATTTCTGAAATTAGTAATGACCAGTTCTAGTAGCTTATTACCAGGCTTAAGGGCAGCCCAAAGTTTACAATTCAGTTAGATGAAACAACTGATATTTCTAACGTGGCATAGTTATTACTTTACATAAAATATGTTTTTGAAGGAAGCATACGTGAGGATTTATTGTCTTGTCACCCTTTGGAAGGCACACAAGAGGAGAAGATATATATCTTAAAGTTGATGAATTTTTCACAAATGAAGGTTTACAGTGAAAAAACTTCATTGGAGTCTATACAGATGGTGCTGAAGCAATGATAGGCAAGAATGTTGGATTTGTAGCGCAAGTTAAAGCTGGTGGCAATGAACATACCACTTTCACTCACTGCATGATCCATTGGGAGGCACTTGTAGCTAAAAAAATGTCACCAGAGTTAGATGTTGTGCTTCTCGATACTATCAAAAGCATTACCTTCATTAAAAGCTGTGCCCTTAACAGTTGTTTGTTTTCAAACCTTTGGAAAGACATAAGGTGGCTCTCAAGAGGGTGAAGTTTAGACAGATTATTTAAATTGAAAGATGAAGTTGTTTTTGACTGAGAAGAAATCCTGTTTTATTAATTTTTTTCATAATGACTTATGGCTTTCAGAACCGTGTTATTTGTTGGATATTTTCTGGAAACTCAATGATTTAAACATGTCACTTCAAGGAGAAAATTGTGACATATTTATGTTAAAAGACAAATTTGAAAGCTTTACTAAAAGTTAACATATGGAAGAATAGGGTGGAAAATTGTTCTTCAGAAATATGTACAGCTACAAATGATTTTATAATCGAAAATAACCTTTCCAAAGATTTAGTTGTAAAAGTTATAATTGATCATCTGAAGTGCCTGGAGACACAGTT